GCTGTTCCAGTGACCTCCCCAAAAGGGACCTGAGTCCCAGTGGTGCACTCCGCCCACACTGCAGGAAGACCCAGGCAGGAGCCAAGCCTGAGGAAGCCCAGAGTCTCCAATCTGGGCTGTAAGTCGTCCTGCTGGACCTGGCAGAGCCCCAGTAGCTGTGGCCTCACAGACTCTTCTGGAAGACCCGGTGCAGGCTCTGGGCCAGGACGTCTGTCTCCTCGTAGCCCTCACAGCTTTGCTGCCAGCTCTCTGGCACCTGTTCCATCCCATAGTAGGCGCCAGCAATGGCCCCAGCCATGGTGGCAATGGTGTCCGTGTCCCCACCAAGTGAGATGGAATAGATGAGAGTCCTCTGGAGGCTATTGAAGGCTGAGGGGATCTCAGGATCAGGCTCCATGCAGCGCAGGAAGCAGTAGATGGCGGTGGGCACAGAGTCAAAGGCAGCAATGCCGTTCCCTGTAGGGAAGTCAGACTATGGGGTCTTGACCGCCCACTACCCACCCCAACTGTGCCCCAAGGGGCTTCCCACCCCTTGTCACTCTCAGCTTCAAGTTAGGCTGTGATTAAGATCACAGGCTCTGGGGTTAGACTGCCTGCGTTCAAATCCTGGCTCTCCTACCTACTTGCTGTGTGATTCCTGTATCTTGGGTTCAATTGCTTGTGCAAGAGTGAATACAGTTAGGAACTCCTGCAGGGCTGGTATGAGGGTGAAATGACACCATACAGGTAAAGCATTCTGCATAGTGCCCAGAACACAGTAAAAGTGCTGTATAAATAAACATCAGTTATCACCATTAGCTGTAAAAACTAGCAGTCGGCTGCCATTTCTAGGGACCTTGATCCATAAGGCTGAGGGGTGCCGTGGCCTTTGAGCAAGAAGGTGCTATGCTCACAGCCTGCCAAGGACCCTACAGATCACGGCTCTGATGTCAAGGCAGCTCTGGCGAAAGTGCGACTCCAGGCAGCCCTCCCACCCCTGAGCCTAAGTCTGACCCTGAATGATGATGATGGGGGGGTGCTACCCACCCAGCTCGGACACCACCTCCTCTCTGGTCACTGAGTCCTGCTCTAGAAGCTCTCCAATCTTCTTCAGTCGGCTGGAGTATGGACGCTCCTCCATGCCCAACCTGTGCGTCAGGGGTGAGATTTCAGGGAAGTCAGAGCCGGCAGGGAGGAGATGGAAGCCAGGAGGAAGGGCTGTGGGGCAGGGCGAGGCGGGATGTGAGCAGGCAGACACCAGGGACAGGTGCCGGGCAAGTAGTGGGAAGGCCTAGGTGTGAGCCAGCTATTTTGTTCTTTGGGACCCAGAGAGCCCTGAAGCACAGCCAAGGCCAAGGGCTTCTTCCCACCCCTCCTTGGGGTCTGCAATTACAGAAGGAAGGCTTCAGCTTGCGACAGTGTCACCCCTCCAGCATGCACACTCGCGAACACCCTTCCAGCCTGCCTCCATCCCACATACTCACTCCCTGGCATCCGACACGGACTGGGCATCACTCTCCAGCTCTTCCATGTGGCCCAGGAGTTGTTCAAGGAAGTGATCACTGGACGACTCACCCTGCAAAGCCAGGTGCACAGCCAGGGCCTGCAGGATGGCACCGTTGTAACCCAGGGAGGAGGCATGTGTCAGCTGGGCCGAGAGCCGGGCAAACTAGGGCAAAGGCAATGGAGGCAAAGACCTGCTGTCACCGAACCCAAGCTGCAGAGGGAGGGAGGGAAGTGCCCAGAAGCCAGCCTGCCCGGACTACCTTCTGCACATCTTGGACGCTGCTATAGGCCAGGGAGATGCCAGCCACCCGCATGGCGCCCCCGTTGCCATAGGAGCCTTTCCCATTAAACTGGGCCCGGGCAGGCTCAAAGACATCACGGCACTTGGGGCTCAGGAGCTTCTTGAAGACAGTGATCACTCCAGCACCATAACCTCGGTCAGGGTCTTTCTTGTACTCCTGAGCGAACCTAGGGGAGAGAAGGGGTAAGACAGCCTTTAAAACATGCCTGTCAAGGTTGGGAGGGAAGAACCTAGCTGGTCTGGGGACTGAAGGACCCTGTGCCAGCGACACTGTCGCTTCTGGCTTGGGAAGCTGCAGCAGCCCTTGAGAGTGTCCTGCCGAGGGTGGGGGACCCGGCATGCACAGGAATCACTGCTCTGGTCAAGGGGTGCAGTAACTCTGTCCACCTGGTCTGCCTCACTCCAGGACCATGCCCCTCACCTGTGAGCCATGTCCACCTCGTCGAAGGCCTCCTTGGCCAGCAGGGACTGCACCAGCGCCCTGGCCATGGCTGTGTCGTCTGTGTAGCACAACGCTTCTGCAGGGACAGGGCGGGGGAGCGGAGATCAAGCTGCAGGGCTTGAAGGCGGTAGCTTTGGCTTTCTGCTCATTCCTTTTATCTACTACTTCTAGAAGGCCTTAAGTCAGCCTCTCATTCCCATCCAGGTTCCTGGGCTCTAAGCCTTGGGATTTTCAGCAGTTTTTTATTGTGAGTCAGTCACCACATCCTGCTGATTTCTGAAGGAAAACCTTCCACTCCCTTCTGCTATCACTCCACCTCCAGTCTTGACAGACCTACTTTCGGCCCACCTTCCCCTCCCTTTTCACTCTCAGGAGGTCCCCACCCCCTACTTCACTGGGAAGAGAGGCTAACAGGACCTTATCCAGGGCTGTACTCTCCAGTCTCCCCTCAAAGAGACTGAGTCTCTCCTGCAGTCCACCCCCTGCCCAGTTCCCCGGGCCCTTGCCCTTCCTTTTTCTCCTCTCCTGTCTCACCTGTTCTCCCTTTGCTTGGTCCCTGCACTCTGCTCTTCCCCAGGGAACCACTTTGCTCCCATTCCCAGTCCAGGTGATTAGGGCATGGAGTCAGCGCCACCTCTAGTCTAGCCAAACAGCATACCCCATTCCCTGGTTCAGGAATGGACGGGTGACCTGAACCAGGCCAGTGAGACTCAATCGGAGACCTTTGCTGGGGCTACTGCAAAGAGAAACTTCCTCTGCTGGAGTTACTGAGCTGAGAGCTGCTGGGGGCCTCCTCATGGGAAGGGTCTGACAGTGAAGTTCCTCCAGAAGAATGCAGATCTGAACAAGGAGAGGAACTGAGTCTTGAGGAGACGGCTTGATTTAGCTCTGCTTAAAGCAAGATCTACCGCTGGATTTCTCAGTGACATCAGCCAATGCATTCTCTTTTGGCTCAGGCCATTCTGAGTTGGGTTTTCTGCCCTTGCACTCAAACTGTCCTAAAACCTCAACCTAAAGTGTTTTCTCCTTGTCTTAACATAAGACTGAAAATGAAATTGTAAACTGTTCCTCCATCTTGTCTTCACCTCAACCACAGTTCATCTCTCTCCTTCCCTTCATTCCAAACCATACTCTTATTTTCTCCTTTTCCACTTCTTCCTAAACCCACTGAAATCTAACTTCCAGGCTTCAACCTACTGAAAATAATTTTCTAATTCTAGACCTCCCCCTACTTGGCCTCTCTGTAGCCCCACGCCAGTAACCAGTGTCTTCATCTTTAATTTCTCCCCTGCTTCTCCTCTTACCCAGCGGTTTCCTTCTCTAGCTCCTTTTCCTCCTACAGGGTTCTGAATATGGCTCCTTTTCCTTACTATTCTACATGCTTGACCTCAGCTGTGATATTGAGGTGAGATCTGGGTGATGTGTTGCCCGAACAAGGGGAGGGAGAAGCGGACAGGAAAGAGCTTTTCAGGCAAAGGGGCGGCAGCACATGGCGAAGGCCTGGGTTAGGGAGGCATGATGCGAGAGCAACCTCAGCGCAGAAAGCACGGCCGACGGTGCTGTAAGATGAAACTGGAGACGCAGGCGAGCGCCATCCACGGAGAGCACGTTTAGGAGTTTGGCTCTGTCCTAAGGGGTAATGGAAAATCCCTGCAGATTCACGAGGGGAAGGCCGCGATCAGAGCTATGTTTTGAGAAGCGCACTCCCAGCTGCGTGGCGCGATGATTCAGGAGAACCAGGTGAAACCGGTAAAATCTACAGGGATGTTAAGTACTGCACTAGGCGAAATCTAGGCGTGGCTTGCACGGCTGGGAGGATAGTGTGGCCACGCTCCGAGCTGGCGAACCTTCGGGGCGAGAGGTGTGAAGACCGGGCTCGGATTTAGCTAAGCTGAGTCCGAGGTGCCTGCTGGTCGTGCAGATCTGACCCCTCTCGGCTGCGGTCCCCTCCCTCCCCGAGTCTCTCGTGGGCCCCCGGCCCCCTCCAGTGCCCATGTGCGCCCGGCCCCGCCCACCTGTCCCCGCACTGGCGGGCGAGCCGGGGTCCGGCTCCAGGTCCCGGACTTGACGCAGGACTGACGTCAGGTCGACGGTGTCGCGCGCTTCGTAGATGGCGCCCACGCAGTCCCCGAGCAGAGCGCCCGCCAGGCAGCCTCGGAAGCGCGAGAGGGAGCGGGCTGCCCCAGCCCCTCCGCAGGCCGCCGCGGTCATCGCCGCCGCCGCCATCCGCGCGGACCCGCCGCCACTTCCGGTGTGGCCGGCGTGCGCCCCACGGCGCCTCTCAGCCGGCCCCACAGCGCCGCCCCGCGGCCCGGAGTCGCAGCTGCCGCGCGGGTGGCTAGGGGCGGTCCCGCAGCCCAGGTGCGATTGGGTTTGGCTTGTTTTTAGCCCGCATTTCCCCCACCTGTAAACGGTGTCACAGCCGGGAGGGACGGCCACTAAATGGTCTCCAAGACCTTCAGGTCACTGCCCTCCGCGTCCTGCCTTAATGATGTGTCGCTCTGTGCCCTGGCACCCCAGCCCCCTTCTGCGCCTCCCCTAGGCATCAAAAAAGTGGGCAAGAAACAGAAGTGGTTAGAGGTCACGCCGCTGGAGCCCAGGGGTACTGGCCTAGCCCAGAGAGGGGCTCCCTGAGGAGAGAGAAGGGAAGGCATGGGATCTGGAACACAGAGCTTGAGGGGTGATGTTCCTCATCTTTGCTCCTCCAAGAGCAGAGGGCCAAGAGCCCTCTCCCTGCTGACTGCATGCAAGGGTAGCAGAGAATCTCTGGACTGAGAACCCCAACCTTTATTGGATTCATTCCCTCAGCCCCTGTCCCGCTCTCATTTCCCACCAGCCTCCCCTCCTCCCCCGGCCCCCTCCCTAGGTTAGCTCCAGCTGGCAGGTTCTGAGTGGACTCAGGGTGCGGTTTGTGGTGCGGCTGAAAGTGTCCACCTCGGGCACAAACTTCTCAGCAGGCACAGTCAGCTTCCGACGGGTGTCCATGCACTTAGAGTCCAACAGCATGGAGCTGGCCTTGCAGGCAATGTCAGCCTGCAGCCGGGCCAGATGCTTGTACAGGGCGTCCAGAGCATCCCTGGGGAGGAGAATTAACATCCCACCACCCTGGCGTAAGGCTGGGAGGTCAGGGCCGAGCTCACCTGCCTTGAGTCAGGAAGACAGCGGGGAAGCCAACAGGCAGCAAGAGACCCCAGTGGCGGGAGGCGTCTCCCCACCTGTCCTGCCCACTCTCCAAACCTACTGCGCTTGCGCCAGCTTCTGCTTCAGGGCGGCAATGGTGGCCTCTAACTGGTGAACCTCGTCAGTGAGGCCGTACTGTGCCTAGAGGCAGAGGGGCAAGTTGGGAGTCCCAGGTCAGGCACACTCTCCTTCTGCCCACAGGCCTGGGCACTGCCCCACACCAGCACCCCTGCTCCATCAGGGAGTGAGGCATCCTGAGGAAACCTTAGCAGAGGCTCGGTGCTCCACTGGGATGCCTGCACACCTGGTCCCGGCAGAGTTCCACATTGGGACGGTAGGTCCTAGTCTCTAGCCGGGTGTGGCATAGCTTCAGGTTCAGTAACTTTCTGCGCAGATCCTCCTCCAGGTGCCGGATGTCCTCCTGCAGCTCTGCGATCTCCTCCAAGGTCTGCAGGGACAGAGTGACTGGTCTCCACCTGGTGTACCCGGTCCCCAGGGCTTCCTGGCAGGGACCAGGCTCCTCATCCCAGCACAGGAAGCCCAGGCCCCAGGAGACCAAACGGAGATGGCTCACATTCTTTTCTTGCCACTTGAGCTCACTGTACACTTTCTCCATCTCCCGCAGCCGCTTCCTGAAGGCAAATTCCGTTGCAACTCTCTGGGCTTCAAGTTCGTTGTTAGTCTGAAGGACAGGAAGTAGAATGGGCAAGGGGAGGGTATGAGCTCTGGCCATCTGAGGATGTGGATCAGGTGGGGGGGGGAGATGCCACATGGCTGATAAGGACTTGAGTGCATGCTGGGGCCATCCCTTAGCCTGGGAAGATCGGGGTACGGGGAGTGTTCAGTCACCTCAGCAATAGTTAGGGCAATGGCCTCCCTCAGCTCTACAGCTCCTTTCATCTCAGCTTCTGCCCGGTTCTTATTGAACTGACTGAAGTCATCCCACTGCTGGAGTGTGGAAGAGCTGCAGGTAGCAGGAAATACTGGGGTCATTAAGAGTATGGCTTCTGCAGGGAGGAAGAGAGAATGAGTGAAACACTCTTCTTACCCACTGGGGACACGTGTGGGATTAATCTTCAGGGAGATGTTTGGAGACTTGAGGTCGAGAGAGAGGCAGCCTCTGTCAATGTCCAGTGTCTCCATTTTGCCCCGATGGTCAGAGTTGAGCTGCTGTCGGACTTCCTGTAGGAGGCTGGGGAAGGAACAGACTCGATCCAGGAACCATCTCTCCAAGGCCCTGGAATGCAGCCCACATGGCACTGAAGGGACAACAAGTGATGGGGATGGGAAGGCTGGGGTGACAATGGAGCTACTGCTGTAGCTGAAACAAAGATGGGCACAGCTGGATGAGCTCCCACAGACAAAATTTTGGCACCCAAGTGCTTGTACATCCCATGGGGCACACGCATGTGACTATACTCAGAAGGCTTACACTCCCAGAAAGTCAGGGGTGGTGGCCAATGGGCTTCCTTTCTTGTGCTCCCAGTCAATTGACAATGGCTGCCTAGAGCAGGGTCATGAAAAGTATTCTGAGACCATGTCTAGGTGGTAGAAAAGGTGCTCCAATTGGTGAGTGGTTTCTGCCATGGGCAGCAGGGGCAGAAGGTAGCCTGAGAGCCAGTGACTCGTTATCCACGGTACACGCATTCCACATCAAGATACAGCCTTCAAGGGCCGGTGAACGTGAGAATGACACGTCTCTCCCTTACCAGAGCTTCTCAAAGGCCTGGCTGATCTTCTCTTGCAAGGCCTTCTTGGTGGCTTCAATGATCTCCACCTCTTTGTGCAGCTCTTCCTCTGCAGGGTCCTTCACCACATCAATGTCACGCCGACTGTCCCGCAGGGTCAGGCACTCAATTGCCACATCCAGAGGCAGGTTCTTGGCCTGCAGGTTTTGCTCTGCTGACTCTTTCATCTAGAAAAGAAAGGGCACAGGAGGCTGGTGGGGCCATTGGCTGGAAAGTAGTTTTCATCCCCACTTTAGCAGAGGGGCCACTGAGGGACTCAGATGGACATGCCACCAAATACCCCCATCAAGGCTTCCCTGTTCCAGAAGTGGGGAGGGAGGGGAAGTCCTTGCAGCAGAGTCTCCTGGCACCCTGCCCTAGCTCCATGCCTGTGTCAGGGTGTCAATCTCAGCATCTAAATCCGTCAGACACTTATCCAGCATCTCCTTCCATCGGTTGACAGTATCAATTCTCTCTGCCAATCGAGTCCTATTGTCATGTTCATCCCAAATGGTCTGGAAGAGACAGAGACAGATAAAGAGGGTGTTGGGGGTTGGGGGCTATCCCTTTCCCATCCAGCTGGGCTCCGACTCCGAACCTGGTTGTTTGTCTCGTTGCGGAGGACTCGGGCCTCCTGGCGGATCTGGTGTGAGGCATCTCGCTGCCGCTCCGCATTGGTGGACAGCAGGTAGCTGTTGGTGTGCCAGTCTGGCAACCGGAAGCGTTGACTGGGCTTGACGCTCAGCGTGGCCATGGTGCAGGAGCCGAAGGGTCAGAGCCCTCAGGCCTGTTCCAAGGCACTCCCCTCTGCTGGAGATAGCAAACCATGCTGCAGGAGACCACTCATGAGAGCCTCTCCTGGTTCAAAGCCCCTCCAAAGGATGTGCTCCTTCCCACTTTGCTCCAAGCCCCTCTCTGCAGGAAGCTTGGGAATAACTCCCCCTACACTCAACTTTGTGTGAGGCATTAACTGTCTCCTCCCGCCCGCCCATCGATCCACAGACACAAACTGCTGGACACTACAGGTCCTGGAGCAGGTGGAAGGGAATAATGGAGTCCCTTGGGCTGTGTGTGTGTGTGTGTGTGTGTTGCCAAGTGCTTGGTGGGGTGGCAGAGGGAGAGCGGTAGCAGGAAAAATAGCCCTTAATCTAGTTTTCCACCCCTACTTCCAGCAACCAAGTCTTGTGGAACTTTCTTTCTCTGCTCCAACTTTGGGCTAGGACCCCAGGGTATCTAAGAGAAGCCCTGTTCTCCAGCCAGAGAGGACGGGCTATATTCGCAGGGGCTATGAATTGGCACTAGGGAATTGCGGGTGGGGTAGGGTGTGGGCGGCCTGGTCCCCTCCCCATCTGGTCGTTACATTCCCTCCCTCCGCCCTTTGTTGGAGGAGAAACAGCGTGTGTGTGAGGGGCCCCAGTGGGAGGAGCTGGGGTTTGTCTAGTTCCCAGCCGAATCCCTCCCTTCCCTTCCCTTCCTAGGATAATCATCTTTGGTTTAAATTAATACCCCGGCGCAGAGAATGGAGAAGGAGGGAGCTGGGCCCTGGGTATGAGACCCCCTCTCTTCCCCTGGTCCCCTCACCTCCTTGCCGGCCCGCACTTCCGCCTCGCCTCCCCCGCTCTTCTGTTGAGCGCCCCCGGTTGCTAGGTACCCGCCCCTCCGCGCGCGGGTCACCACCGCCCGCCTGTTTAGCTTGGCAACCGCCGGGCTGCGGCGGGGCCAGACGCCTTCGGGGTAGGAAAGGGCCCGCGGCGGGGCTGGGACTGCTGGTGGAGGCGCGGGAGGAGGAGGGCATCAGGATATCGCGTTCACTTCATTTACAAGTTTAACTTTTTTATTTTGGTAAGAGTTACGCATCGACAGGGCAAAAAAAATACGGCCGTGCGTAACTAATCTCTTGCTCGGGCTCACTTCACAGCAGGTACCGTTCCAAAATTGTGTATATATTTAACTTTATTTATGCACATTCCTTTGATCCTGTCTTTCCCAACAATTTCATCATCTGCTTGACGATATAGAAGGAATGATCATCGTATTTGGAGAGGGCACGTCCCTGGGAGAGGTTAACTGAGGTATTATAAGTAGTGCTCAAAATCCAACCGTTTATTTAAAAGGAAGGGGAAAAAATTCAACCTCGCTAGTACCATTGTAGGCCTTGGGAAATGTTAACAGTTAATGTACACAGCTAATAGGTGAAGTAGGCATTATCCCCATTTTCGTCGGTAAATTAAGAGACTGTCAGGGATGAAAAGCCGGAGGTGTCTGATCCCCTGGTCTACGTTCTCCCAGTTACGCCTCCGCACTGCCTCTAGTGGTGGTGCTGGACATCAAGAGGAAGGCAGGGATGCTATCCCCAGCGTGCCGACCCGCTCCCCATCAGAAGGCTGTGCAAAAAGATCCTAGGAGGAGGGTGCTATTACGACTGTGCTACAGGCGAGGAAACTGAGGCACAGAGAAGTGAGGAACGTGCCCGGGGTCACATAACTAAGTGGTGGAGCCTGGATACGAACCCAGGCAGTCTGCCCCAGTGGCTAAGTTCAGGTTTGATGGATGAGGCCAAGAGGGGAATCCAAGAAGAGTCCTCAGTCTTAGAACCTCAGTGATTGATGGGATGCGGTTATCCTTCACAGAGGGCAGAGAGGCAGAAAACCCATGTCTTGGTAGGCAAGGGGAGGATGAGGTTGGCTTTAGAGACGTTTGAGGTGCTTGTGGAGGATATAGAGCCTGGAACGTTTCCCAGACTTCTTTGATCACAATTTTTTTTCCCCCACAGAATATTTTCTGAACTCTAATACATGGCTTATAAGCCAGACATGCATGGGAATTTGTGATAAAGCTCTTTTACTAGGACTAAAGAAGATTTTTAAAAAAGGCCCTTGACAAATTAATTGCCAGAAGGAATGATCCAATTTTGGCATAGATATTTGGAAACATAACAGAAAGAAGTAAACAAATATGGCAGAATGGTGGTGGCTTTGGCGGGTATCTCTGACTGCAGTGGTGGCCTTGATGTTCATGACTCCTGCAGTTCCTGCACATCCTGACCGACGGAAGAAGATACTGGCAGAGAAGACCAGACAGCTGATGACTTGGACCAAGAAAAACAGAGTGATAAAAATGAATGATGCCACATTCAGTCATTTTGTATTAGAAACACCACGAAACTACTCTGTTATTGTGATGTTTACTACTCTCCAAGTTTAGCTCATGTGTAATATGCCAACCTGCTGCTGAAGAATTTCAGATCTTGGCAAATTCCTGGCAATTCTCCAATGCATTCGGCAACAAGGTATTTTTTGCTATGGTGGATTTTGAGGAAAGCCCTGAGATCTTTAAAATGCTCCAGTTGATGTCAATTCCAAGTTTCCTCCACTTTTCTGCTAAAAGGACATTTACACCAGATGACATTTATCATTTGGAAGAAAGGGGTATCACAGTGCAGCAAATGTCTGCATGGGTAGCTGAGAGAACCCAGAAAAGGATGGTCAACATCAAAGTCAGAGAGCAGGCGCATAATTACTATCCCTTCAAGTTAGGGGTCTCTTTGGCTCTCATTGGTGGAATTGTGTATGTATTGAAATGGAATAGGAAATTTATTTTAAGCAAAAATTTTTGGGCCATTTTAGTTCTGTGTTTTGTGATCTTGATGACTTCTGGTCAAATGTGGACTTATATAAAAGGAGCCCCATATGCTCAAAGCAATCCTCACACAGGACATACCCATTATATTCATGGAGTGAGTTTCTCTCAGTTCATGGCAGAAATGTACATCGTTTCTCTGTTTCATGTGTCCATTACCCTGGGAATGGTGCTCTTAGATGAAGCTGCCATCTCTCGTGTGAACATTATAAAGAGGAAGATAATGTCCATAGTCGGTATGTGTCTAGTTTTAATATTCTTCAGTTGGCTGCTCTCTCTCTTCAGATTTAAAGAACCTAACTATCCATTCCGCATTCTCATGGATTAAAAAGGATCCCAGAAATGTAGACAATGAAGCAAGAAATTCTTTTAAATGTGAAAAAAAAATGGAACAGAAGGATATGAACTCATAACTTTTTTCCTGTTTTTATTCTTATCTTTTTAAAACTTCTTTTTGTTTTAAACAATTTTGGGGGACTAATTAGGTTTATTTATTTATTTATTATTATTTTTTAATGGAGGTACTGGGGATTAAACCCAGGACCTCATGGATGCTAAGCACATACTCTATCACTGAGCTATACCCTCCCCACTCATAACTTTTTTAAGTGATTGAGATTTAGCCAAAGGAGACACCTAGTGCCTTAGCAATAACAAGCCATTTTCTCTCAAAATCTGTGAAGTGTTATGGTATGTATATTTTCTTCATTCTTCTCAACCTTCTCCTCCCAGTAAATGTCACAGATTACCTTACTTAGTCAATTCCAGTGATTAAAATCCTTAGAGTATACACCTTCAGTTGAAGCAGGACAATGTTCAAAAGTGCTTTAGCTAATACTTGGTCAGCTGATCTTATTCTAATATGAAAAATAATATCTTGTTATCGATCTCCACATCTAGCTACTGAAGTTAGAACTGTATTGCCTTTCCAGGAGGTATATAATTGCACAGCCTGCTTTGGGCACTGCCCTCTGAAGCCTTAGCATCTTCCTTTAGAATATACGTCCAGTGTCCAGAGGCAGACAAAGGATTACTTGGTCTCCCAAGTCTTTCCTACTGAAATACTCTATCTCCCTGCTTTCCTACCATGTGTCTTGATGTCTGTAGATATTACAAACTAATTAAATATTGGGTTATAATTTCTCCATGATAAGTACCTTTTATCTGGAAAGATTTCAGGTAAATTATCTTTCCTTATTTTTCTTTCAAGTGGCCAATGTAACAAAATAGTAGTTCCTATTTTGGTGTTGACTTGAGGTTGTTTTCAGTTAAATTTAAATCTAAAAGAAAAATAGATACAAAGACAATTCAGAGGGTGAATGATGACTTTATTCACCCTTGTCTGGTTAGAAATGTGCTAAAATATGCAGAAATGCAAAACTGAACATCTTAAGAGCTGTGCTATTTCGGCCTTTCTTCCCTCTTAAGTACAAATTTGGAGATTTGTTTGTTTGTTTACCTTCTTTCTGTTATATGCAGATAATTAAAATTAAGTCCTAATCAGCTTATTAATGTGTTTGGCAAATGACAGCAAAGACTTATGTTACAGTTTACTGTTAAATCAAACTCTGGTCTTCCCTCTGCAAATTGCTATTTTAGAAATGTGAGAACTGTGACTGCGAAAGTGTCTTTCAAGCAAGAACAATTTAGTGTCACCTTAGAAGATTTCTGCTTTAAATTGGGACTGGCTTTGGCTATTTACAAAGTGACCCTCCTTAAAGGTATAGTGTAAGATTTTGAGGTTTTATATAAGAGTTGTTTGCCAAAGGAATTGGGCATACCTGCCCCTGAGTGAAATTACACTTTTTTTTTTAAACACGGAGTGGGTGGGAATAATTGACATCGCTCCCTTTAATTTAGACATTTTTGTTTGCTTCCTCCAGAGGAAAGTGCTTGACTCTGGCTTTTTTTTCCAGCTTACTCTTCTGTTGATCTTGCCCTTGTCTCAGGCCAAATAAATTCACGTTTTGATTCTCAAGGCTGAGACATATGTGAGGCCAAGCAGTGTTGAACAGCACATTAGTCAGAGAGCAGGAGCGGCTGCTTCCACTACCCAGCTGCAGATGATTTGCCCTGGAGGTTGAAGCAAACATTCCCCCGACTTGATTTGCCCTTCTTATTTTCCGAGCCCACTCTTACTGCATAAGAAAGAAAAGCCTCTTGGTTCAAATGAATGAAAAGTAGCTTTACTGCACTCAAAGTAAAGTGTTATATACTTTTGTGCAGATTTTCAAATTAATATCTAAATGGTCTTAACGTACATAACAGTAATACTTCTTAATTAAAGGTTTCGAATACACCTCTTAATATATTAAAACTTAATATATTATAACTATTCAAAGGGATACCACCAATGGAAAACTTTTGTAATCTAAAATATTTATAAAAGTACAAAAATAAATTAGAAAAATTAAACTCATAATATGGTTAAACAACTTAATTTTACATTTATATAAAATACACATGAAAACCATCTGGATGATGGTGGTGACTGAAGTCCTGCCCGGTGCAGCATCCAAACAGTTCCTAAGTTGTTTTTGATTTCAGTTTTTGCAACATAATGTACAAATTCCATTTAGCAAGTTGTGTTGCATTAAAAAAAGTAATATTGTATTTTTAGCAGTTTTAAGTACTTTGGGGCTATTTCTGGTCAGTTAGCAAAAAAGCCTATTGGTGTTTTGTTTCAGCAGAGAATCAGAAATTATATAAGTCTTCAAAATCCTAAGCCACTAATGTGTCTGCTTTGATTATAAGTAAAATTTGAGCCTAAGCATTATTCTTAAGGAGAAAGATTTTAATAGAGAAAAGTACGAGAACAGTACTGCTCTATTAAGGCATTGCAAAGCTCTTTATAGACTGTGGTAATTATAGAAGTAACAAAAGTGACAGAAGACAGGCAAACAGTCATCTTTCTCTACAGATGAAACTAAAGATTCCAGTCCCCTTTGTGATAAAAAAACATCCTGTCAAATGTTGTAAAAATGATCCCCTCCCTTCCTGGCATTGACAGATTAACCTAATTAATTTCCCAAAAGCAACAACAGGGTATGCAAGTCTCAGCAGCCAAGGAATTTTTTAATTGATCAGTCGACTGAAACATGGTAACCATGAGAACTTAAAATTCAAGGTGTATGGCCCCCCTCCGGAAACAAAAACAAAAACAAACCACCTTGGAATTTTACCTTAGACTGCCACCTCCTTTCTGCATGCTTAAATGTAGTGCTCTGAGCATCCTTTTCTTCAGAAGAAAGTTTCAAGCAGCTGGGCTCTAGTGTAATTAGTGACTTGTTCTGTCCAGTTTAGCTGTCTTATTAATCGATTAGAACATTTAAAAAAATTTTTTTTGAAAATCAAAGCCTGCTTTTATTGATGTTCCAACAGACTGGAGATTCGGAAGGGATTGTTCACAGGCCAATTACCATCTGCCTAGATAACCGTTTTGCTTTTC